AAAGAATAAAGCCTTCAGAAGGCAGAGGTGGCTGGAAAATAAAAACAGTACATGTCCAGCTTTGCCTGAGGCCTTCTTCCTCTCTCCTGATTCTTCTCCCTATGTTCTCTGCTCACCCAAGAGAAGTGACCAACACTCTGCGGCAGCATAGGGTCCTGCAATCATGACCCCACCAGAGAAGAGCTGTGCCCTTGGGCTGCCTGTGTCGGGTCCATTTGGACCTGCAGGAGGACGACAACTGGGGTCCCCGACTCTTCCCACCTCGTGGTTCCTCTGCCCACTGCKGCGTTGGAGGAGGAGGCGGTGCTGACCTTCCTGACAGTGTCCCTTTGAGAAAAGCTCCACTGAGGCTGAGCTTCTCCTGTCAGCCTCCTGCCACGTGCTCAGCGCAAGGCCTCRGGGACGGGCCCCTCCCCGTGGGACGGTGTTACAGACAGTGTCTGCTCAAAGTCAGCCAAGCCCAAGGGCTGTCGGAGAGGGGACCCAGTGCCTGCCATGGAGGTGGGCAGGCGCTGCTCCCCTGGCCCCAAGCTCCACTGCCCACCGTGAGCAGCGCCTCTCGGGCAACAGCCCTGAGCTGCTGCCTACAGCACTGAACACACGACAGGGGGAAAACGTCAAGGTTCTTCCCCTCTCAGTACAAAAGGTCCCTCTGCAGATGTGTGCCCAGGAGAGGGCAGAGGGCGTCCGCCCATCTGCAGCAGCCCGAGCCCTGGCTTTGGGGACAGAGGTGGGCGTGGGGCAGCATCGTCATCCCGAGTGCTTCCCTGAGGACTCGGCCCCTGGAGAAGAGCCTGGTGCCCACCTCGGGTATTTTTTTTTTTTTTTAATTAAAACATCTCACAATAACAAGGCACAACTCCGGGCTGCGGGGACGTTGTGCGGCACCAGCGCTGTCATTTTCCTAGGGATGTCCCCAATTACGGCAGCTCGCCTCGGCAACTGAAACTTGTTCTTCGCCGATTTCAAACGCCTCCTTCCCTCCTCCCCCCAGCTTGGCCTTCAGACTCTTAATAAAACATTAAAAAGCCCCCGCACCATGTCGCCCGAGCGGGTCCCCGGCTTGCTGAAGTCTGACCGCTTCCCCTCATCTCCATATTACAGCGGCTCCGTCCGTGGTTTGCGTGGAGAGGCGGCGGCACGTGAGGTCTGACTTCCCAGGAAGTCGGCTGTGATGTGATCGTGTTCAAAGGGAAAGACGGAGGGTGTTTCCCGCCGTGGAGGCGATGCCTGCCTTTTAGACTTGAAAGACCAGTGGGCATTCTCTGAAACCTGAACACGGCGGCGGAAAAAGTGTTTCTGTCAGAAAAAAAACAGTCTCTTTAGAGATGGGGCCTCATTAGCGTGGTGGGCTTGACTTTCTGGGGGCGGGGTGGGGGGGACGATAAACAGAAGAGAAGCTAAAATGTATTGATCATGTGCTTTACACCAGGCGGCTGCCCCAAGCTTTACACAGGTGACGTCACTCAGTCTCATGACACGAGGGCTGCGTGGGGGCTGGGGTGACGGGTACAGGGCACTGAGGACAACTGGGCGTGCAGTCATCGTCCCCAGTGCCAGCCCAGCAGGCAGAGGCACGGCCACGCCCCCTTCATAGCCCGGCAGGAGCGTGCCAGGGCTTGCCCACCAGAAGACCCGCAGCCCCGGATCCACCCTGCCCTGGGGCCTCAGGCAGGTGAGACAGTCGGTCCTTCGGGCCTGACCTACATTCCTTCCCAGTATCCTTTACATGTGCGATGGCAGCTGGGACACAGTCTGTGACTGTGTCTGTGTGTCCTTCCCTGCCTGCTAATCAGAATAACAGTGATCATGACAATAATCCAGAAAGCACAGCATATTGCTGGCACCACGTCTTCCTCTTCTTCTTGTGTGGGAGCCGCCTCTGCAGGGTGCTGGTCCAGGCCCCTACAGCAGCCCGGGAGCTGGCCTCAGCTTGGCTCAGCCACCCAGGGCAGGGCTACAGATGTCCGGGTGTGGAGGGCAGAAGGGAGAGTCCTTCTCCCTCCCTCCACCACACCAGGTTGCCTCCCGTGGGTCCATCTGGGTCAGGTCTTTCGACTTCAGAGGAGACCTGGACACCATCTTCCTCTATGCTCCTGATGCACAAGTGAGACAGGAGYCCAGGTGGTCAGGGTCTGCTTTCCTGGCACCTGTGCCTGGGGGACCCCTCCTCTGGCCTTGATCTTGTCTCATGCCCAGGCCCACCTGCAGGCCAGCTCTCTCCACCCGGAGGGATCTGGCTCCAGAGTCCTCCAGAGCCATGCACTGGCCTTTGCCTGGCCTCCCGCCTGCCTGCTCCTCTCTAGGCCAGGCCCCCTCAGCCTGCTCCTCTGCCTGCTGGTCTCCTGCTGCCCTCCTGGGGAGAGAGCAGCACAGCCCCTTCTAGCCCTGGCTGTGTGGCCTCTGTCCTTGGCCACATGCCCTTGAGGAGCAAGGGCAGTGCTGCTACAAAATGAGATGACCCGATCCACATCAGGCTCCAGCAGAGCCCGGGGAACTGGGAGGTCAGAGGCAAGGTTCAGCACTGCCAGGCCAGGGTGGACATCCTGGGCTCCCTGTCTGCTGCCCTGTGACCTTGGGCAAAGAGGCTGCACTTCATGTGCTCCAAACTCCCCATCTCTATCAGGAGGGAAGAGGAGCACCACCAGCCTTGGCCAGAGGATGGAGTGAGCAGCACATTTGCTGATCGTTTCTTGGAAATCACTTGATGAACCAGTGGTTCTGGATCTACAGCCAGAGGGTCCCGGCGGCCATCCTGGCTCTCACTTTGACTTGCTGTGTGACCCTGGGGATTTACTTAACCTCTCTGTGCATCAGGGTCTTTGCATGTACAGAGAGCTGAGAGGAGAGCGTGGGCATAGAGCTGTGCTTCGGCTGCTCTGTGATCACTGCTGCTTTCACTGTGACTACACCCCTAGCACAAGCAACCTGCTCTACTAGGTGTGGGGCTCAGGAGCCAGGCCTCGTCCACCGTGGTGGCCAGATTCCTGCCATAGCCCTGCTGTAGCTCSTAAGGCCTGCAGCCTGGCCTCGCCATGAGGTGCCACGAGGGCATGCCATGCTCACCTCATTCCCGGCCACAGTGGAAATGCTTCCTCTTTGGGACGCCTTCCCTGACACAGAGGTCAACAGAGGGTATGCTGTTTAGGCCCTTTACCAGGCTGCCAGTCCTTGGGGCCACTGTTCCCAGCCCTGGCACGGTCAAGGTGTTGGCAGCATGCCAGATGAAGAGAAGGCGTGAGTGCTGCAGACGGCTGTGTGACCTCAGGTGATCACCTCCTCTGGGCTGCTTCTGATATCACCACTAATATCTGCCACCCCAAACAGCAATTGTGTCCCTTTGGGAAGGCTCCAAAGGCTGAGTTCAGTCTGAGGACAGAGTGTGTGTGTGTTGTTGTTTTTGGTTTTCTAACTTTCAAGCCTCCAGATGCTGGTGAGGCTTCTCTTCAAATGCAGGGTCTGGTGTGATCTAGGGTCAGATTTCAGCTCAGCTCAGCCCAGAGGAGGGGGAGAGAGCTGGAAGCAGGGCTTTGAAGTGTTTCCGCTGCCCACTTCCCTGTCCCCACTTAGATCAGCCCCAGGTTAGTGTCCTCTGACATCTGTAAACAAGACCACCTTCTTTCCGGGGTGGAGCCGCCCTACAGGCACCTGGGGCTGAACCATCAAGGTCTTCCCAGAGCTGCCCAGTGGTCTCCCTAGAGCTGCCCAGTGGTCTCCCTGGGGACGGGGTTGAAAGCCTGCACACCTGAACGTGGGAAGATCTGAAGTGACCGGGGACCCTGTAATTTCAGAACCCAGTGCCTTTGGAGTCCTGTCTCGCCTGTGGGCACCGAGCAGCACCTAGATAGGTTATCTTTCTGGACGTGGTGAAAGTCCTGCAGCCTRCGCGTTACTTTCCCCTGAGAGCCACTAAAAAGGAAAATTATTTGCATGCACTCGCAGAAACATTCATGTATGGGAAGTCATGTTTTGGGGGTCAGGCTGGGAACAATCAACAGGTTTTTACTCGTGGACGTTTTTAAAACCTGTTTCACTCTCAGTGCCCTGGAAGCCACTCTAGGTTTTGTAGGCATTCGCTGTGCCTACCTGGTGGGCATTCCAGTTTCTGGAACTGGACCCCAAGCCACCCACATCACCTGCTCCTGCATCCTCCTGAGCAGCTCCCACCCTGCCTGGGCCTTCCCTCCACCCTGGCCTCGCTGATGGGAGACAGGTGGTCTCTGTCACCAGCTTGATTCCTGAAMACACTTGAGGACTTGGCCAAGGCCGGCGTCAGCTTCTGCCCAGCCTTAACATGCTTAGTTAGGGCTCAAAGATCTTAGGAGCCGTTGCCCAAGTCCAAGATCTGAGCAAGACATGAGCCGTGGACAGCTCAGACTATTCTGTGGCTCCTCCACCGCACTGGGGCTGGACTGTGCCCTTGGGTCCTTCTGGTGAGAACTTGGGTCCAGCCATGCCCTGCCCAGCAGAACCCAGGCCTGTGGCCGCTCTTCAGCTGCCCTGGTGAACACTATAAGAACTGACCATGGGGAAGGGCTCAAGCTGCCCCACAACTCCCCTCTGGCAGGCCACCCTGTCCCCACAGCCCAGAGCTGCTGCTGTGAGGTGGCCCGCTTCAGACTGAGGTACACAGCAGATCAGTTGAACAGCATTGACTTCGTCCTCTGAATTGGTGGCAAAGACCCCCTGGGAGGCCAGTCTAGGCTCATGGGCACATCAGAGCTTGGCCGCCAAGGCTGTCCTTGAGGACCTGTGTCACAATGAAGCCCCCAGGTCCAGCTACCAGGCTCCACAGCAACCAACCTGCCTGCATGAAAAGCTTCTGCAACTCAGGCCTGAGCGATTCTGTCAAACCCGGAGATATCCRGAACTCTCCAGCTCTCAGTGCACACCCAGAATTTGGCTAAGAAGCAGAGGGAGAGAGTCTTCTGTTCTCTCCCCACAGAGAAGGCAAAGCTCACCAGGCACAGGGATTACTAGCAGCAAACTAAAGAACGTCTTTTATTTTTAATAAAATAGTGGAGCATGAAAAATCTCATATATTACAGATATACACCGGCAGGAACCCCCCTTCCCTAACTGGGTAAAGAGAAAGCACTAGACAAAGTTTGTCTTTGCTGCCCAGTGCAGCTTGATCTATTCATGGGAATCATTTGTTTAACAATAGAAAGAGTCAATAAGCCCTTTGGGTACTTTTGAAWGATCCTMCTCCTCCTCCCCCCTCCTTTCCACAAATTAGCCCAAATGTGTATAACATTGGCTTGGTTTCCATTAAAAAGCCACAGAATGTAATGCTCAAGCGTTTCCAGGGCCGGCCCCTCAGTTCTTTTGTTAGGAGATTTCTTTTGTTGTCTTTATGAACAGAGCAAAATACTTGTTTTTCTTTTTATTTTCATGGAGAGAGAAACAAACTTATTGCACATCTTTGGTTCCACACGGTTAGATTAGGTTTCGGGAGGTTTTGGTCTTGGAAAAAGACCTTCCATGAAGCTGGAGACTGGAGTCTATTTTAAGGGACTCCAAAGCCACCCAAGGATAAAGACTGGTCAGGGTCCTTCCTCTCTGCACAGGTCTTGTGTCCCACACAGCGACCTCCGACCTTGCTTGGGGTAGCCCCCCTGGATGGCTTCTTTTGCCACCCCAAGGGGGGCTCTTTAATCTGCGAAAATAGTGGTCTGGCCTCTCATTTATAAGTGGGTCGCAAAGCCAACTCCAGCACACAGATGTGCATTTGTGGAAGGGTCTGAACAAAAGTTCTCTGAGGGCTGAATCAATGACTTTACCACCAATTAGTTACACCGGAGACTACTGAACTGCGRAGCGGCCCTTCACTGAGGAACAGCACAAAACAAAACCCTTGAAGTACATTCTTACTTTCAGCGTATCATGGTATTCTGAATTTCGGGGTAAAAACTTTCCATTTATTTGCATTTTTTAAAAAAAACCCTTTTATTTAAAAAACCAACCAGCCAAAGCCAGGAACTGCACTCTGTTTGGGYCCTGCCCGCCTGCCCACCAGGTCCTTCCCTCCTGGCCCTTCACACACAGGCAGGAGGCTGGGGCGGGATCTCGTATTTCCCAAGATGAGGTTTCTGGGGATGCTGCGCTTTTTTGTAAATCCCACCGCTGGCGATGACGCTGGCGGGTTTCCGGCGGCTTTTCCTCTTTAACCTGCGGCTGCAGACCTGCTGCCAAGACTGCAGGGTCTTGGAAGTCCAGATCCACACGCCACTGGTAATGCCCACCACCAGCAGCATGGAGACCTTCACCATGAAGATCTCCACAGCGGGGATGGAGGCRGCCATCAGGCAGTCCAGCGCCTTGGTCTGGTTGTTGACCCTGCACTTGTGCTGTGAGGCCAGCATCTTCCAGTAGTCCATGTTGAGGCGCTCGTATAAGTAACAGGCGATCACACAGGTGGCCGGCACGGTGTAGAGCACGGAGAAGACCCCGATGCGCACCATGAGCTTCTCCAGCTTGTCTGTGTTCTCCCCGCCGGTCTTCATCACCCTCCGGATGTGGAACAAAGCCACGAAGCCCGAGAGGATGAAGGAAGTGCCGATGATGAGGTAGCAAGCCAGGGGGACCAGCACGAAGCCCGTGAGGGCGTTGACGTCCATGCTGCCCACGTAGCACACYCCCGTGAGCTCATCCCCGGCCACCCTACGCATCACCAGGATCAGGATGGTYTTCACCGCCGGGATGGCCCAGGCCGCCAGGTGGAAGTAGCTGCTGTGGGCCTCAATGGCCTCGTGTCCCCACTTCTTGCCAGCTGCCAGGAACCAGGTGAGCGTCAGGACCACCCACCACAGCGAGCTGGCCATGCCGAAGTAGTACAGCACCARGAAGACAAGGGTGCAGCCGGTGCTCTCCAGTCCCTCCTGAATCACGTAGAGCTGACCGCTGTCCCGGTCGCAGGCGATGCTCTCCGCGCCTGCAAAGAGGCGGATGATGTAGCCCACGGAGTAGACGCAGTAGCACATGGAGAGGAAGATGATGGGGCGCTCGGGGTACCGGAAGCGAGCCGGGTCGATGAGGAAGGTGAGCACRGTGAAGGCACTGGAGAAGAAGCACAGCACGGACCAGACGGCCAGCCAGACCACCGCGAAGCGCTTGTCGGCGCGGCTCCAGTACACGTCCACGCCCGGCGTGCAGAGCGGAGCGCACGACGCGCTCTTCTCCACGTGATGGAACTTGCCGGGGTTGTCGCAGCCGGCGCGCCCAGAGCTCCCGTCTTTCAGGTGGTGCTCCTGCGCGCTGTGGGGCCGCTGTGGCCTGAAGAGCGGCGGGAACATGCCTGAGCCCCGGCTGGGCTCCTCTGAACCGTTGTTGGGCGCCTCCATGCACAGGTAGTTGGGGTCATTCTTGTTGGGGAGCTTACTGCAGTCCAGGGAGTCGGGCCACTTGAAGTTGAACTGCTCCATGATGGGCGAGCACTTGAGCCGGGCCTGCTCGCACATGACCCGGCAGGCAGGAATGGGCGTGGAGACCTGCTCGGTGCACATCGGAGCGTACAGCGAGCACAGGAAGAAGCGGAGGTGGCCATGGCAGCCGTACTCCACCAGCGGCGCAAACTCGTGCAGCTGGATGGCGGCCTCGCGCTGGTTTTCATGGCCCATCAGGTTGGGCATGCGGGTCATGTTGTAGCCAATGTCCTTGCACATCGGGATCTCTATAGGCTGGCACTTGCCGTCACCAGGTCGCTCCATGTCCATGGAGCTGATGGCGGCGCACGAACCCATCACCTGCAGCACCAGCCACAGGCAGGGACCCGGGCGCTGCATGGTGACGTCCGAGGTGCCCTCGCAGGGAGGTCCGCGCCCCTCAGAGCCGCCGCTCCGGGGCACGGGCTGCTGGCCTGGGCTCCGCGCCCCTGCTCGGGCTCCCGCCCATGCCCGCCCAGCCTGCCCGAGCGCTGCGCACAGCGCCCCCGGCCCTGCTCTCAGCTCCTGGCCTCCGCCGAGCCGGGTCGGCGGGGGAGGGGAGCAAAGTTTGCAAACAATACCGGGAAGCGAGCGAAGCCGCTGGAGCTCTCAGCGCCGCCGCCCCGCGCGGGCTTCAACTCACTGCCGCGGCAAACTTTGGCCTCTTCTTGGCGCGCCGGGCCCGCGCGTCGGGAGAGGGCGGGCGGCGCGGGCGCACAGAGGCCCGGCCAGCTCGCGGCGCCCTGCGGCCCAGCGGCTCCTCCCTCCCTGCGCCGGCCTCGCCGGGCCCAGCTAGCAGCTGTTGTGAGGTTTGTGTCCCGGGATGAGAAGACTGGCAAAAAGGCAAAGGGGAAAAAAGCCGAGCGGTGACAGGCCCCGCCCCCAGGCCGCCGCCCCGCCCCTCCACTGCTTTGCATGAGAAAGCCGARCGCCCCGGGCAGCCTCCGCGCGCCGCCCCGCCGCCCGCCCGGGCCCCGCGGGGGCCGAGCCCCCAGCCGCTGCGCCCGCCCGGCGCACCCCGCCAGGCGCGCGGGGCCCTGCGCGCCGCCGCCCTGCCCGGAGGTCCCGCCCGCTCTCCGCCCTCTCTCCGCCTGGCTTCCAACTTTGCCTCCCGCGGCGTTCTCTGCCAGTGTCCCCTTTCCCGGGGGCGGGGGGATGGGTCCTCSGGATTGTCCCCCGCACCCCAAGGACTGTCGAGGTTACGGGAAGTTCGGGGACTGGCGGGAGCCGGGGTGGGGGTGGTCCGCGGCAGGGGGCCAGGGGTGCATCTTCCCCTACTTTTATGGTGGGTCCCAGGCCGAGGGAGCTTTCAAAGAGAGGTGGGATTTGCGTTTTATGGCTTTGGCTATAAAACGGCCCCTTGGCTTGTAAACCTGCCCGCATCTTCAGGAGGCCGGGGGTTGCCAGCCTGGGGCGCGGGACTTCGGCTCCGGGGAGGGGTTTGCTTTGAAATTTCTAAGAGGTGAGGGAAGGGGCGGGGGAGGGGACCTGGGAATCCAGATTTTAGGGCCGCTCATCCGAGGTCTCCTCAAAGAAGGCGGGAGAGGAGGCTCCCAGGCCTTTCACCCCCCAGCCAGGGCAGTGGGACTTGACTCACAGTGACCCGCCCGCCTGGGCTGCAGAGTTGGGGGCCTCGATCCGAGCAGGGCTCGCTGAGTTTATTTATTATAGGAAGTCATTCGTTCCTCGGTATTTATATTATTTGGTGAGTGGTTCGGCGGCCTCAAGAGACGTCAAGCGACTGGCCGGTGAGCTGTGCCGGGCGGGTTCCGGCCGGGACCCGGCGTTCAGAGCCAAAGGCGGAGGCGCAGGGCTGGCTCTCCAGAGAGAGGAGAAGCGTGGTCCCCTCCTCCCGCTTCTGCCTTCCTGCCCTCTGGTTTGGGCCAGTTTGTGCTAAGGCCGTTCCGGACCCAAGGGCCCTGTTCCCCCGCATAGGACGTGAGAGATGGGCACCCACCCCAAGCCCCACGGTGCCCAAGAGTACGCGAGATGCTTCTCTTTCTGCACTAACCCCTGGATAGACATCTCCCGGGGGGTGGCCGGCTCTCTCCCCTAACCCTCGAGGTCCAGTCTTTGAAGTGCTTCCGAAACCCCTCCCCAACCAGGATTCAGTCCAGCGCCACCGGGAGAGGGGCAGCTGGAGGACGCGGCGGAGGCGCATTCCGCCTTCTGTCCCTCCCGCGCACCCCAGGCTCACTCGGGCAGTCTGGGGTGTGCGCAATCGCGGCTGGGAACCCGTGCCCGCGGCTGATCCTGCAGCTCTCCGCAGCGTGGGAGGAGCTGGGTGGGCGGACCCCGCGGGGGTCGTTGCGATTCCGCCAGCTGTCTCCAGGAAGCGCCCGGGAGGGCGCAGGGGCCGCCAGGCACCCCTCCTGCCAGCCCAGCCTGTCAGCAGTGGCAGGACCCGGACACTTCCTCCGAGAGGATTGGCTCCTAATTAAAACAAGGCGTGCACTTGTGCRTATGCAGGAAACTTGGGCGCTCTCATTCATTCGTCTGACGTGCGGGGCTGTGGCTTGCCAAGGGTCCCAGAATGACAGGCAGGTGTTCATGCCCCATCGCCGAGTCCTTGACCCCATGCCCTGATCTCAAGGAGGTGCTGGGGGTACTGGGGTGAGGGGGCAGTGGCCGAGAAGGTAGAAGCCAGTGCCTGGCAACTATCTTTTCCCACTGTGTGGGCTCCCCCGAAAGAGCGCATGTGTTCCAAAGACTGCCATTTTATGACGATAGTTTGCTTCTTTATTTAGTAGTGAGCTAGTTTTAGCACTTTTAAGTTAGAAAAGATTCTTTAGGCAACACTTGGCTTTTCTAGGATTTTCCTTGCAAAGGTTCTTCCTGCCCSGGTTGGAGGAGAAGAGCCAAGTCCTGTGAGCCTGGTGCAGCCATTTGTGCGAGTGCCTCCTAATTGATCCTTTATGTGCTATTTTTATCCCACCATGTTCAGACCCATTATTTTAGCCACTCGGATTGCTTTCTTCTCTTCTGTTTTATAAAAATGTCTATAGAAGCTCTTGGTTCTGCCCAGCAGAGATGGAAACCAACAAAATAGACATTATTATCGAAAAATGGGGACTCTGAGAAATCAGCAACTGGGAGATAACTCTGTAACTAATAAATGAAAAGGGCCTTTTGATGGCTCCAGCTGAAAAGATATTTTATTTTATTTTTTTTTTCCTGTGTGTGGGATTTGAGATGTGTGACTCTGCGGAGCAGCCGGGTCCCCTGCTGCTCAGCCCTGGCTGCTACCGGCCCCCCTCTGGCAACTGTTATGGAGAATTGGGAGGAATTTTATGGCTGTCTTTCCCCTCAGCTCTTTTTTCTTTTGTCTTCTTTGAAGAATGACTTTAGACATTTTATTTACATATTTAACCATGGATGAAAGAGGGGAAAGAAAGCATTGGGGGCTGTCGTGGGAATAGTGATATGTTTAAATTAATGGAAATCTTATTAGGCCTCTAAAATTTTGAGCAAAGGTTTTTAATGAAACTTTATAATTAAACACGATTTCAAATAATGTGCAGGGACAAGGAATATCTTTTGCTCCAATCCTCTTTAAAAAAAAAATATATATATATATATCAGAAAGCTACTCACAAGCATTATCTACTTTTAAGTTTTTGCAAATGTTCACCAGGGAAAGTGTGAGACTTTTGAAAGAGAATATTTCAGGCAGTATCTTGAACAAGAGCGACATGTTTTTGGAAGTGGAAGAGAGGCCTAGATTCATTCCGTTTAAACTAGCAAAGTCAAAAGTATAAAGTACTTGGACATGGATATTCCCAACAATCAAAGTTGTATCTTTTCTCACTCTGTAATAGTCAATGGAAATTATAAGCCCTGCCTGAGGTTTTCTAAAATGGGATTAGAGAAAACCCCAATAATCTCTTTAAGATAAAAAGTACTGGGACATTCAGCAATAAAGAGGAATTAAACCATGAGCTTAGCATGGTACAAGCTAATTGCAGGAGTGAACTCTCGGGTTTTGAGCAGAGGTTATAAAAAGAAATAAAATGGAGAAGGTGCTTTTCCCAGCAGCCCCTGCTTAAAAGGCCTCTAGGCACATTTTGACGTGGCCCTCTAGGCACATTTTGACGTGGCCATTGGTTTGTCTCGGGCCCTCAACGTTGTGTTGTCTTTTGGCAGGTATCTTTGCCCCTGTGCCTTAAAAGAGAAGGGCAGTGATGTGTGGGCTAAAGGATTGCCTGGCATGCAGGGCCCTGAGGGGAGCGGGCATCTTCCCTGACCGCATGTTAAGTTTTTCAGAAACTTATCAGGAAACATGGGTGGAAAATTCAAATGCTGCTCCCTCCCCCACCTCCTTGGGGTTGTGCTGCATGGAAGTGGGACTTGGCGGAAATCCACCAGAAAGGCCATGCAGGCCACATTGGATTCAACAGGCACAAGTTTTAATCACACCTAAAAAAAAAAAAACGCTCCTGGTAAGATGTTTTGGGGGAGGAGAGTAAGAAACAAACAAGCCCCCGTATCGCATGGTAAAATGGATGAGCAGAGCCGCCCAGGCTGCTGCAGAACAATTTAGGCTGCTATTTTAAGGCCACTTCCCTTGAAATGTGGATTGAAATATTACCAAAGGTTCCACGGGGTGCATCAGTGTGAATTGCAAATCAGAGCATTTGTTTAATCCTCTTTCAAGGCCCGGCCTTGGATCGCTGGCGTCCACGGGCTCCCTACTGCTTCTGGCGCAGAAGGGACCATTCAAGGGGGCAGCTTCTCTCCTCTATTCCCACACTCCAAAAAACAACACCGCAGACAGACACCCTCCAACTAAATTAGATTAAACTCCTTCTCTTCCACAGTGCATTAGCCTTTTTACTGCCTGAGCTGCGCTGTTCAGCTCCTCCTCGTTTAAAGACACAGCGCTTCTTTTCTGTCTCAGCAGCCATTGCCACAACAGTGAACACGACTGAGAAAAGAAAAAAAGAAAAGAAAAAGAAAGGGACAAAGCGCTCCGGACTGAGTGCCTTCAACCACAAGGAGGTTATCTGTTTAACACAGGAAGACCAGGTGGGTGCTGGCTCTGAAACACAAACACATAAATGGACCCCCAACCTGGGCAGAGCTGGGCTATGGAACCACACAGGACACAGTTCCACAGACAGTTGCTGGACGTAGATGCCCATCATCTGCATTTGAGCTTCCCTCTTGGACGCCATTGTCCTGCTCTGTCCCTCCTCAGCTGTTGGGTTCTCTGCCCAGCATCCCATCTGTTTGTTTCTGCTTTACTCCTGGGCTCTGGGGTCCTTTCTTTGCCTGTCCTCAGATGTGGGTCACCAGGGGAGGGAACAGATCCACCAGACCTGGGCCCCTGCACAGTGACAGAGGAGGCCAGCATTAGACAGGGACACTGTAGGGACAGTGCAGGGATGGCCTCCACAGCCTGGCCCTGCCTCAGGCAGAAGGAACCTATCTCCTGCGCCTGGCCTTCGGGCTCAACAGCGGGCAGCCCCACCCTGGAGAGTGAGGGGGACCTGGGTCTGGTGCTGGTTAGGTGGCGTCTCCCCCACAGTCACGTGATCTCTGCTGGGCTACTCCTGCTGTCTGTGCCTCAGTGATTTCACCTGAAAATGAGACCAGCTGTGCCCCAATCTCACCGGGCAAGTCAAGGACACTTCAGGGGACACACAGGAGACCTTTGAACAGTGGGGCACACCCTGGAGCTCTTGGAGTAGCTGCTCCACTGGGAAGAGGGAGGGGGCTGTGTGGGCAGGGGGTGGGGAGGCRG